AGGAAGGAAGGAAGGAAGGAAGGAAGGAGGCAAATTATTTCAAAGAAGACAGAATTATATTTTCCTTCATTTTCCAACTAGCCTTGTTTTTATTACTTCTAATATTGTATCTATATAGTATGCCATGCCCTTCATAATGAAAACAGAAAGATAGGAAAACACTAACATATACATACTTTTAGAAGTATTTGAGGAACTTGTTGAATCTTGTAGCAATTCGAAGCTGTATAATCAATTTTCAGTGTACTAAAGTCAGCCTAACCAAGCTAGGTAAATGATAAACAGACTATATGGGTAAGCAAAGAAATGACAGAATCCTGGAATTTGCAGCTGGAAGAGCTTCAAGGTCATTAATTCAACCTCCCACTTAGTGGAAGATTCTCGTCACCACTCTCCCATCTGTCGTCTGCCTGCAAAGCCCTGCAAAGCTCTAATGATGGAGAAACCATTACTTTCACACCTGTGGGCTTTTGTTAAGCTGGAATTTACCTTTGTGTCTCCTGATACGATTTCTACTTTCTAAACAGAGGGAAGTCTGCTTTTCCACTCAGCAGTTCTTTAGGTATCTGTAAATAGCTACTAACTTTTCAGCTATAGTTTCTTTAGTTACTTCATAGACTTGATTGACACTCTCCTCTGACATTCTTCAGTTTGTCAGTGTTGCTCAAGGGTGGCAATGAGATCAGAAACTAAAGGGGTCGGTAATTTCAACTTGCGTCTATCTGCTAATATTCAATGTCTTCCCTCAAAGGGTGGTTCTATCTGTTTGTTGAAGTTTGTCTGAAATATATCTGAAAAGAGCATCTTGGGTTTTAGGTCATTAAAAATCCTTATAGGCTCCTAAAGATAAACAAATCCTTAAAAAAAACACCTTCTCCTTTTACACTTGAGATTTAAGAGGAAAATAATTCATAATAGTGCTGAAAATCAAAAGCAAGCCATCTCTGTCTACCATAATTAGTGCATTTTTCAAATGGTGATCAATACCGTACCAGCAGGTGAACAAAGGGATGGTAAGTCAGAGAGTATGGTAACTATGGCTGCCACCAAACGCGCACTTTCTTCTGACAGTCGAGTCTTAGAGGCGATGTGACTTGGAGAGTCTGACATCTTGGTACTGAGATGTGGCATGTGCCGTACTAAAATGAACATCAGCAGCTCCATCGTTGCAAACACAAGAGATTTCCCAGGAATAAGACCACCGCTGTCACCTCCTTCTCCCAGCACAGGACAGGACTCTTTTTCCATGTCATCTTCATCTTGGGTGAAAGAAAATTTGGTGAAATTTCCAGCGAACAACCCCACACAAAACAAATAGTAGCTGAAACAATGCAATAAATATATTTGAGAAATTCTTTCAAAAGAACTTATAACTGAATGTCTAACTGATGTAACATGCTTTTCTCAGAATAATTCTTACTGGAATTCTGTTCATTGACATCTCCTTTTAAGTAAAGGACAATCCATTTTTTAGTTAGAAAAATTTTATTAGGTACTTTTATTAGAAATGTATTTCATAATACGAGTAACACATAATATAAATTCAATCCTATGAAGCTGACAATTTTGAAGGTGAAAAATAGTTAACAGAAATTTCATTTGGTTCTTTTTAATGAAAGCAAAGTCAATTGCAAAGCTTCTCAATGTCTGATTACTTTTATTAAAAAATCTTCCTGTAAGTCAATTGCAAAGCTTCTCAATGTCTGATTAACTTTTTTTATTAAAAAATCTTCCTGGCGCCCTGGCCGGGTGGCTCAGTTGGTTGGAGCACTGTCCCATATACCAAAAGGTTGTGGGTTCGATTCCTGGTCAGGGCACATACCTAGGTTGTGGGTTTGATCCCCGGTCAGGGTGCATACATGAGGCAACTGAAGGATGTTTTTCTCTTATATCGAAGTTTCTTTCTCTCTCTCTCTTCATTTCTAAAATCAATAAAAATACACATCCTCGGGTGAGGATAAAAGCAAAACAAAAACCCACAAAACTTCCTGGCATTAATGTTTTAAAAATTAGAGTGCAATCTACGTCAAAGTTAGTGTAATTTCTAGTGCTTACTTAGACTGTTTCTTTTTTCTTGCAAGTAATCCTGAGCAGCTCTTACTATCTGTTGTACAACTCCAGTAACCAGCAGCTGGACTGATGGTGGATTGCAGGTCAGTAAGAGGCGGTGCAAAACACTCAGCAACTCAACACCAATCAGCTATTATAAATTAATACAGATACATTTAATTAATTTTAATTTCAAAAGATAAATTTATATTATTTGAAATCTAAGAAAATATACATGTAAAAATAAAGAAATATGGTAGCTAAAATGAACATATAGGACTCTAATAAAAACACTATCACAATTTTGAGAAATGGTCACATTTTATGCCAACATATTTTGAGTCAATAAAATACTTTGTTATTTATATGTTTAAATAATTTTTATATTAAAAAATGATTACTCTCCCATTTCTTTCCTCCGTTTGAACTAAGCAGTATTGCTTGAGTCCAGTGACTCTACAGTTTATGATTTTCAACCTAAACTGAGCCCCCAAGAGGTGTCTACCAGAGATTCCAGGCACTTCAGGTAGTCCCTCTCCATTTCATCTCAGCAGCTATAAATAATCACCACTCACTTTAAGCCCCTTACTCACACCTTCCACATCAAACCCATCCCATAACATGGATAAAGTCCTCTAAATATTTCATAAATAAATTAGAAAAAGTCAATTATTGAACTGTTGAGATAAGTACTTGAACCAGTTCAAAAAAATTGCATTAAGTGAGAGAGAAAACTTCCTCAAACATTTAAAAGTAGCATAATTCATTTAACAGTCTTATAAATTACTTCAGTCCTTTATCAGTAGAATCATAAACTGGGACTAAGGTCATTCCTTAAATTTCTAGTTTTATTTGTCTGTTGATGAACAAATCAAAGAAGGTATAGTGACTATCTCTAGTCTAGTTGTGCCTGGTCACCCCACATTCAGTATGGGATCTTAAAGCCAAAGCCCTGAGTAATCTATATATATGTAAAAGGCTAAGTGACCAACCGTCCATCCATCCAGTACATATGATGTGCATTTGCAATCCTATATAATAAAAGGCTAATATGCAAATTGTCCCCTTGGAAGTTTGACCAACTGTGAGTTCCTTGTCCCCTTGGGAGTTTGACCAACTGGGAGTTCCACCACTAGCTATGATGTGTGCCGACCATGGGGCGGCGTGGAATGAAGGCCTTGGCCAAAAGCTGGCAGCCAGGGGAAGGAAAGGCCTTGCTGACCACCAGGGGGCGGCGTGGAATGAAGGCCTTGGCCAACAGCTGGCAGCCAGGGGAAGGAAAGGCCCGGCCGGCAGCCAGAAGCTGGAGGGGAAGAAAGGCCCCGTTCAACCCTGATCACCGGCCAGGCCTAGGGACCCTACCCATGCACGAATTTCGTGCACTAGGCCTCTAGTTTAAAAATAAACGTTGACTTAGCATGCATGATACATATAAAGCTCTTGCTGGCGCCAACCCTAATTTATATATTATTTTCATATATATTTTACTAATTTTCTTTCATCTCTGACATTTCTATTATAGGGAAAGGGCGAACAGCGATATTAAAATATTTCTTCTAATTAATTTCCTTTCAATGTGCACAAATCCGTGCATGGGGCCACTAGTGACTATATAATATTTCATACGTGAGAAAATTATCTTAAGATAAATATGGTGAAAGCAAAGCATAAAATTAATGATCTATTATAGAAATAGTCTATACCTGATCTTCTGCAATATGGGTCCGGGCATAAGGAGAATCTAGCAAGGTATGTAAGGCCTGTAGACATGCTGTAACATGTTCAGTAGGCTCCTCAGGTCTAGGGGAACAAAGGAACTGTATACTCACACCTGCAATGTACAAAATGAAAGCATTTGTCAATATAAAATACAATTACTTTGACACCAATTTTTCTTCTCTTTATTATGTTTACAAATTACTTTAAAATATATGTATTTTTTATTTAAGAGAGGAAGGGAAAGGGAGAAGGAGAGAGAGTTAGAAACATTAATGATGATGCCCTAGCTGGTTTAGCTCAGTGGATACAGCACTGGCCTGTAGACTGAAGGGTCCTGGGCTTGATTCCAATCAAGGGCACATGCCCAGGTTTTGGGCTCAATCCCTAGAAGGGGGCATGCAGGAGGCAGCCAATCAATGATTCTCTCTCATTACTGATTGTTCTAACTCTCTCCTCCTCTCTGAAATCAATTTAAAAAAACAAACAAAAAACCTATATATAAAAAAAAGAACAACAATTTTAAAAAAAGTTAATGATGAGTGAGAATCATTGATCGGCTGCCTCCTGCACACCCCACACTGGGGATTGAGCCTACAACCCAGGCATATGCCCTGACCGGGAATCAAACCATGACCTCCTTGTTCACAGGTCAATGCTCAACCACTGAGCCACACTGGTGGGCTTACAAATTATTTTTTAATATATATTTATTAATGCCTTAGAGTTCAAAATCATTTCCAAAGTAAGCAACCAAAGTAACAGATTGTAGCTTTGCCAAAATTAGGTTAATAATCAAATTGGAGGGGGGAATTCGAACATCATCAGATTGATTTAGAAAATATTCTTTTTTTTGTTTCTAGGGTATTTAAAAATAATACATTAAGAATAATTTTATGATAACTTATAAAATTACTTTTCATTAAATGGTTTCCAAAAATTTTTATACCTACAAAGTTTTTAAGAGGTACTATGGATATCATGGACAATTGCTCTTAATTTGCATAAGAGCGAGGTCATTGTTTTGGAAGACTGTCATATTTTTATTTATAAGATCTACTGACAAATTCTATAATTTCACATTACCAACAGTGTTCCTTTTCCCTCCTAGAAAAATATAAAATGGCTAAGTGCTTCAATAAAATGTATGACATCAATGAAGCAATTCTAAATTAAGATTTATTCCAATTTACTTTAACTTTGCATTTTATTATTTCCTCAAGGAACAATTTGTTAAGTGCCAAGTGAAAAAAATATGTTCTTGGAAAAAAAGTTTATTTTGCTTCTTGAAAATTATTCAATATTGCTCTGTTACTAAACAAGATGGCTAAAATTTTTAGAGTACTTTTTAACAATTAAATTTTTAGATTAAAAAAATCAGCTAACAACTTAGAAAATGTGCTTAAAATCCTCCTTTCCTTCTCTGAACTGCTATGTAAAACTTTTCATAGCTTTAAAATGAAAGATATCAAGGATTCCAGAATATACCACACTAAAACAAGCCTCTTTGCCGTATTAATTATTTTGAGCTGAAGGTACTTGAGAAATAGCAGGTGTAGAAAGAGCTCTCTGACCAATTTGTACTCCAAATCAGGTCATAGAAAGTCTACTGATAAAGGTGCCCTCCCTGTATCAGGAAAAGAACATTCTTATCACCAGACAGTGGGAATCTATGTCAAAATAGACCCATGTAAGCAAACCTACTAAATCAACCCTTATATTCCATTAGTTTCTCCCATACATTTCCTAGTCACTGTCCCACAATTTACTGCCCCTGGCCCAAACCCCTTTGATTTGTCACAGCTCCACAATTTATTGCTCTTTGTGTAAAATGGTAGACAAGATTTTGGGCCTAACAGCTACTTCAGTTCTTCATTTTCATTCTAAAGACTTCTGTGCACATGTAAAAATATTATATAACTTTGTATGCTTTCCTCCTGTTAACCTGTTTTATTGTGGATTTAATTCTTGGACCAGCCACAGAACCTAAAAGGGTAGAAGGAAGTTTCTCTCCCTACAGATAAATTTTCAGAGTGATACATCTTGAAGTACATTAACATGATTCACCTACCTAAAATCAGATGCATCCTGTCTTTGTTAATTTCCGGTAAAGACTTAGCACTAGGCGTTGCTCCTGATGCTTGGTTTAAATTGACGGACGCAGGACGTTTTTGTAAACCAGATACAGCAGCTGCTTCTGCTGACTCTGAACATGTAAATCCTGTGCTGTTTAACCAAAGGGCCACTGCATGGAGAATGGGGGCCCAGGAATTCCGGTAGTGAAGTCTAGCTGTATCAATGGTCTCGGGAGTATAAAATGCTCCACCTATGAAACAATCAAATCAATCAAAAACATTACTTGTATTCTAATTGTTCACTCACTTATGTACAACTAACTAAAAATACTCATTTCATACTGTCTTAGTCCATTCAGACTCTGTAACAAAATACCACAGATTGGGTGGTTTTTTTCAACAAAAGCTTATTTCTCATAGTTCTGGAGGCTGGAAGTCCGAGACCAGGGTGCAGCATGGTTCACTGAGGGTCCTCTTCCTGTTCACCTTTGTGCTGTGTTCTCACATGCTGGAAGGGGTTACGGAGCACTGTTGGCGGGGGTCTCTTCCTTTGAGGGGGTCTCTTTATATGGACACTAATCCTATTGATGAGGACTCCACTCTCACGACACAAGCACCACCTCCTAATACCCTTACAATAGAGGTTAGGTTTTAGCAAGGAATTCTGAGGAGACATAAACATTCAGACCACAGCACATACAAAGAGCTTCCCTTCCCTGTGGC